CCTGCATAATACACTGATTTACTTTTACTTTGAACTTTTGTGTTACGATCAACTTTTGCGTTACGATTCCCCTGGGACGACTGCGTTAGTTAAGAGTTATCAGCAGGGCTGAATCTGAAGAAGGAGCATCAGGATTGCACCCCAAAGTCAGCAATGATCCGCATGAAGCAGCATGTAGAACCCTAGGACTGGATCATCTGGCCCAACCCTCTTCAATCCAGGGATCTTTTCGCCCAACGACCCTGAGATTCAAACTCAGGACCCTGAAATTAAGAGTCGCATCTTGTATAACACTATGGTTATACAACAGAGAAGGAACTTTTAGTGGGTGGACCAGTGTAGCGGTGAAAGCGATTTCTGTACCAAGAGGATACCTGCTCATTTCTGGAACAATTAAGAACCCCCGCAATTATGAATTCAATGGTTTTGTGAGTTAATTAAGATTTAAGAATCTTTACAACAGCCACCTAATTTATGTTCTGGAAGCTAGAGCAAGCTTTCTTCGGAAGAGTGCTTGTTGCAGCCCAAGCTCTTGAATGTGATAAAAAAGAAATAGTAAATGGGATATGATACCGTTCCTGTTATATAATATCATTCCTGGAAAGCAGGGAGTTGGACTAGATGGTGCCCCTTCCGACTCTGCAATTCTGTGATCAAATCAAATTCTCACGGTGTCAGAGCTGGCTCCAGGTCCCAGCTCACAGAGGACCAACGCTAGCCGGCAGTAATGTGCAAAAGTCTTTATTGAAGTACAGTTTCCATTTTCAAGCCGGAGCGCCCCAGCTCTACGTCTAGGGGTTAGATCGGCGAAGCTCCATCTGAGTCTCCGCCCCCTGTACACCAGTTTAAGATTCTAGCCTTACTCCACCTCTTACGTCTCTCCTTTCTCCTCTGGGTCCTGCTACCCCCCGGGGTCCCTTCCTTCCTGGATTCTTCTGACGCTGACCCTCCTGACTCCTCCCCCTCTTTTCGGCGGGCTTTGGGACCTGGCTCCCTATCCGGGCTGCCAACTGCGCCGCCCTCCTGTACATTTGAACTTGCGCGCGCGCCCAGCCTTCAACCTTCCTCTCGACCGTTTCCTCGCTCCCCGATGGAGGCGTGGCCAATCCTGACTCATGTCCTCCCACTGGCAGTGCGCCGCCTGATCCCGATGCCTGGGACTCCTCCCCCCCTACTGCACTCTGGTGTGGACGCTGGTCCTGATTTCCAACTGCTGCTCTCTGAGTCCCCTCTGGCCCCTTCTTCCTGGGGTGTCCCCTCGGCACCCCCTTGCTCTGACCAAGGGAGCCCCTTTCTGTGAATCTTCCGATTCGCTGGAAAGACTCAGAGACCTCGGACCGCTGTCATCGCTAACATTTCCTTCGGACTCCTCCCCTCGCTCTCTATTTCCTCCCTTTCCTGTGCCTCTGCTCCTGAACCCCTGACATCCATCCCCCTCGAAGCCCCCCTTCCCCCTCCCCTCCTTCAGGTGTGGGTACTGGGTGCTCCGTCGTTGTGGGGGTGAGTGCCGGATACAGTTCGTCCCCGTGGCGTGCATCCAGCCGGATAAGTCCGGCTCGTCCTCCGTGCTCTCGCCGACCTCAATTTCCTCTGCTTCCATCTCTTGGCCGCCGTGCTCGACCCAAGGTCCTCCCCAACACGTCCATGTCCGTCTCTCCCCGCTCTCCTCCGGGGACGTTGCCTGCCAAGGACCCCCCAACCACTTCCTGCGCCACTGCTCCTCTGGTTGATTGTCCCACCAATAGGAACGGTCTGAGGCAGACCCCGAGGTGATCCCTCCGGGGAACGTGTTTCTAGTGCCGGTTCCTCGTCCGAGGTGAACCCCTGGAATGTGCTAGCTGAAAATGTGGGTGTGAAAAGCCAGTCGTCGAAATACTCGGCTGGCATGGGCCTGTGTGGGAAAAGGGCATGGAACTCGTCCTTAAGCCAAGATTCCTCCAGAGCATAATCTGGCACCCAACTGTTGGCGCTAGCTTCCTTGGCGAGGAGGTATTCCACTCCCTCCTCCCCCCATCTCGAGTCTAAAATCTCTGTGACTTCGTTGACGGGTTCCCGCCTTGGCGACCCCCTTGTGGGCGTTTCCCTGAACGGGTCTGGTGCCGTTCCTGGCTCCTGAAATCTATGAGGTGCTTTGTAGGGCGTGAGCACTGATCTATGGAAAACTGGGTGCATTCTGGATCCCTCCGGCAGTGTCAACCGGAAGGCCACTGGATTGACCTGTGCCTCGACTTGGTAGGGTCCTAGCTGCTTATGCCCTAGCTTCTTCTTCGCTAACGATCTGGCCGGCACTGCCTGGGCTGCTAACCAAACCCAGTCTCCCACCTGTATGTCTTCCCCAACCCTTCTGTGCTTGTCAGCCTGCAGTTTGTATGCGTGCTTTGCTAGTTCTAACTGCCTCCGAAGCTGTTCGTGAACCTCCTGCAACTCTGATGCTAAGGCTTCCGCTGCCTGTGGCTCCCTCCCCTCTCTCGCTAATCCCGGGAAGGTTCTGTGATGCCTCCCGTTTTTGTCGATGACTGGTGTCTCCCGGTTGGACACGTGCTTCGTGTTGTTGTAGGCGAACTCAGCGAGCGGCAGGTAGTCCACCCATGTTGCCGGCTGCTGATTTGCGTAGCATCTCAGGTACTGCTGCATGATGGCGTTGACTCGCTCCGCTTGTCCGTTCGTCTGCGGGTGTCTCGCCGACGCTAGGTTGATCTTGACGTTCAGGAAACCCATCAGCTTCTGCCAGAAGTTCGAGATGAACTGTCGCCCCCGGTCGGACAGGATAGACCGTGGCAGACCGTGAACCCTGAACACGTGGTCTATGAACAGTTTGGCGGTCTGTTCCGCCGTGGCCACCTTCGCGCACGGAATGAAGTGGGCCATTTTGGTGAACATGTCCACCACCACTAGCACTGCCGTCTTGCCCCTCGAGCTGGGTAGATCCGTGACAAAGTCCAGGGCCACCCTCTCCCACGGTTCGATCGGTGTCTGCAGCGGTTCGAGCAGTCCCGCCGGCGGTTTGTGCACTGACTTGGCCCTTTGGCAGGTGTCGCACCTCGAGACGTAATCCGCGACTTCCCCGCATCTTGGGCCACCAAAATCTCTGGCTACTAATTCTACCGTCTTCTCTTTGCCAAAGTGCCCGGCGGTGGGTGCGTCGTGCAACTGCTGCAGTACTTTCGCGCGGAGGTCGTCTCCCGGTACGTAGAGGGCCCTCTGCGGATGAGCAATCCGTCGCGTATCTGGAACTCGTCGTCCTCCGCCGTGCCCCTTTGCACCTCTGCCATCTTTGCTTGCGCGAAGGGGTCCTCCTGCAGTGCTCGACGTACAGCATCCAGGTCCACGGTTGCTGAAGCGCACGCCCACGCTTTCGGTGCGAAAATGTGCTTGGCCGCTGCTGGTGCCGCCTCCTCGAGGTATTGCGGCTTTCTGGACAGTGCATCCGCCATGATGTTGTTGTCGCCTGGGATGTACTCTATCCTGAAGTCGAAATCCGCAAAGAACTCCGCCCATCGTATGTGCCTCTGGTTCAGGAACCTTGCCGTGCGCCAGTACTCCAGGTTTTTATGGTCCGTGCGGACCTGCACTGTGTGTTTGGCTCCAATGAGGAAGTGCCGCCACGCCTTGAATGCTGCATGAATGGCCAGCAACTCCCTGTCCCAGATGGTGTAGTTCTGCTCTGACTTGCTGAGCTTCCTGGAGTAGAAGGCACACGGTCTCCAGTCCCCATGCGGGTCTTGCTGCAACAGTACTGCTCCCACGGCTCTGTCTGAGGCGTCCGTTTCAACCCTCATCGGTCTGCTGGGATTCACATGCAGTAGCTGCTCTTCGGACGAGAAGAGACGCTTGAGTTTCTGAAAGGACTGTTCCGCTTGCTCCGTCCAGATGAACTTCTTCTTCTTGGAGCTGAGTGTGTCGGTAATGGCTGCCGTCTGCATCGCGAACCCCTTGATGAACTTGCGGTAAAAGTTGGCGAAACCGACAAACCGTTGGACCTCCTTCCGATTGCGCGGGCTCTTCCAGTCCAACACTGAGCGAACCTTGGCGCTGTCCATGGCGAGCCCCTTGTCCGACAACTTGTAGCCCAGGAAATCTACTTCCTTCATGTCGAACTGGCACTTTTCCAGCTTGGCGTACAGCCTGTGCTCCTGCAGTCTCTGCAGAACTTCCTTGACGTCTCCCTCGTGGGCCTCCTCTGATTCTGAAAATATCAGGATGTCGTCCAGGAAGCAGACGCATTTCTTGTAGAGGAGACCCGCCAATACGTGATGCATGAAGGCTTGAAAACAGTGGGAGCCATTTTGTAATCCAAAGGGCATAACTCTGTATTCATAGGTGCCCAGGGGCGTGAACATGGCAGTCTTCCATTCGTCGCCCTCCCGCATGCGAATCAGGTTCCGCAGATCCAACTTTGTGAAAACGCGTCCTTTCCTCACCGTTGCGAGCAGGTCATCTATCTTGGGCATGGGAAAGGCTGTGGGCTTGGTTTTTGAGTTCAAAATTCTATAGTCCACCACAAGCCTTTTTTGGGGCGTGTCCTTCTTCTTCACAAAGAATACAGGACTGACACCCACTGCCTTCGACTCCCGGATGAAACCGCGCTTCAAGTTGAGGTCTATGAACTCCCTGAGTTCCTGCAGCTCGTCTTCGGACATGGAATACAGTTTCCCGGTTGGCAGCGTCGCCCTGGCAGGAGGTCAATCTTGCAGTCATAAGACCTGTGGGAGGTAGCTTGTCCGCTTCCTTCTCGCAGAAAACCTCCAAAACGCTGCGTACTTGAGTGGCACTGCTTGCAGCGTGCCTAATTGTAGCTGCGGGTCATCCTCTTCCCCTTCCGGGCTAGGCAGAATGCAATGTTCCGCACAGTATGAGGAGCCGAAGGTCAGTTGTCGCTGGTACCACGCCAATGCTGGGCTGTGCCTGTGCAGCCAACTCATGCCTAATACTATAGGCGTGTCCGACAGTTGGGTGACATTGAAGCTGATGACTTCTCGGTGATTCCCAATTTGCATCACCATCGGAGGCGTTTGCTGCACCACCTGCCCCCCCAGCAATTCCCTGCCATCCACCGTGACAACTTTCAGAGGCAGCGTGGCTGGCAGGAGTGCTATGTTGTGCTCTTGAAGGAAATCCAGTCCTATGAAGTCTGCGTTACTACCAGAGTCAATGGTAATCGGCACTTCCATAGTGAGTCCATTGGGTAGTTGGAGCGATGCTGTGAGCTGCACCACTGGTTTGGGCGGGAGGGGGTCTGTGGGCTGCAAAATCTCTGGGGACGGCTTCATTGACTTGTCTGGTTGGGCCCCAGTGCCTCTTCCTCCAACCAGACTCTGTCGTTTCCCTGCTGTGTTTCTCTCTGCTGAGTTGCTTCTGTTACTGTTGCTGAGGCTGCAGTGTGCTTGTGGAGCCTCTGGGGACACTCTTTCGCCATGTGCTGAACACTGTCGCAGATGTAGCACTTCCTGTTCCCTCTAGGAGGCTTCGCTTTGACTGCTCCCGGTGTTAAGGCTCTGGTTGTTGACTGAGCCCTGGCGCCTCCAATCTCCATCGGTTGCTCTCCCCCTCCTTGCGGAGGTGGGGATTGCACACGCGCTGTATCCTTGGGAAAGAGGGGAGGTGCTCTCACTGGCGTACGTCCCCAACGTCCTTCTTCTCTGTTCCATGGACGTTCTTCCAGACGCACCCCAATTTGCAGCGCCCGCCGGACAACCTCCTGAGTGCTCTTTGGTCTCTCCCCCCTTGCAATCTCATCTTTCACATTTGCATTCAAGCCTTCCCAAAAAGGTCTCTGACTGGGGCAGAATCCTTCTCCCATCCCAGCGCATGGACTAATGCAAAAAAAGCGGGAATGGTACTGCCTTACACTGGCTCTGCCTTGTTTGAGCCCATGTATGTCTTTTCTGGCGATATCAATGTCTATATTTGATAAAAAACACGAATCCATCGCTTTAATGAATGCATCCGCATTTTGGAGCGCCGGATCCTTATCTCTCCACAGATTGCGCAGCCACGCTTTAGCTTCCCCATGCAAATGGGACAAGATAAACCCCACCTTCTCTTGCTCATCTCTAAAGTCTTTATCCAGCAGTTCCAGCGCAAACAGCACGTCTGCTCGGAAGTTAGGGTACTGCTGCAAATTCCCATCGAAATGAGATACCAGGCTGCCTCCTCTTTTCCCCAGCCCAATCCCCTCTGATTTGGGTCCCGGTTGCCCCTGCTTAGCAAGCACTTCCAACCTGGCTTGGAGATCCCTGCAGGCGGCAGCCGCTTCCTCTTCCCTTTTCCTGGATGCGAGTACCTCCGCGTTGAGTTGTGTCACTGCATTTTGCAGGGCTGCTAGTTGCTGTTCTGTAGTCATCTTGCCTGACTTTTGTGAGCTCGCAAAGCACCAATCTTCTTCCCTCGCTGCGTCCACTCACGTTACGAGGTTTTTGGTGCAAAACTTTATGAGATGGAGCTTACTGTCAGAGCTGGCTCCAGGTCCCAGCTCACAGAGGACCAACGCTAGCCGGCAGTAATGTGCAAAAGTCTTTATTGAAGTACAGTTTCCATTTTCAAGCCGGAGCGCCCCAGCTCTACGTCTAGGGGTTAGATCGGCGAAGCTCCATCTGAGTCTCCGCCCCTGTACACCAGTTTAAGATTCTAGCCTTACTCCACCTCTTACGTCTCTCCTTTCTCCTCTGGGTCCTGCTACCCCCCGGGGTCCCTTCCTTCCTGGATTCTTCTGACGCTGACCCTCCTGACTCCTCCCCTCTTTTCGGCGGGCTTTGGGACCTGGCTCCCTATCCGGGCTGCCAACTGCGCCGCCCTCCTGTACATTTGAACTTGCGCGCGCGCCCAGCCTTCAACCTTCCTCTCGACCGTTTCCTCGCTCCCCGATGGAGGCGTGGCCAATCCTGACTCATGTCCTCCCACTGGCAGTGCGCCGCCTGATCCCGATGCCTGGGACTCCTCCGGCCTACTGCGCGCTGGTGTGGACGCTGGTCCTGATGTCCAACTGCGGCTCTCTGAGTCCCCTCTGGCCCCTTCGTCCTGGGGTGTCCCCCTCGGCACCCCCCTTGCTCTGACCAAGGGAGCCCCTGTCTGTGAATCTTCCGATTCGCTGGAAAGACTCAGAGACCTCGGACCGCTGTCATCGCTAACATTTCCTTCGGACTCCTCCCCCTCGCTCTCTATTTCCTCCCTTTCCTGTGCCTCTGCTCCTGAACCCCTGACACACGGGTAAGATTTCAGGCAAGATTTCACATCACACAGAATGCTTGATTTGGGGAGAGAAGGGAGGTAGCTACAGACCACAATTGGGTTAACCTGGAAACATTCCTAGTTAAAGTCTGCAGAAAACATGAAAACTCACAGCCTAGGACCCTCGTACCTACGGGACCACCTCTCCCGGAATGCCCCGCGGAAGAACTTAAGGTCCATGAATAGCAACACCCTAGAGGTCCTGGGCCGTAAGGAAGTCAGATTAGCCTCAACCAGAGCCAGGGCCTTTTCAGTGATGGCTCCGGCCTGGTGGAACGCTCTGTCTCATGAGACCAGGGCCCTGCAGGATCTGATTTCGTTCCACAGGGCCTGTAATACAGAGTTGTTCCGCCTGGCCTTTGGCTTGGAATCAACTTGATCCCCTTCCCCTCTTTCCTTTCTCCTTCTGTGATTGAACTCCTATTTGGGGACTTCCCTGGCTTTTTTCTGGCCCATGTAGGACCAGTCTGGATAGTTGGCCTTGGTGAAGATTTGACGTTTTCATCCCCAAAAAGTTTTTGATTTGAGTTTCTACTGAAATGAGGCTGCATTTTAATGTTCTGCTTAATCTTGTTTTAAAGTTGTATTTTAATCAATGGTTTTTATACCTGGCGTTAGCCGCCCTGAGCCCGGTCTTGGCTGGGGAGGGCGGGGTATAAATAAAATTTATTATTATTATTATTATTATTATTATTATTATTATTATTTGTTAGCCAAGGTTACAATCTGCCTTTCATGTCCATAAAAATGCATATATTCATGAAAATGACATACAAAAAAAAAATCTTTATATGGGGGGGAATTGCTTGCAAAAAAATGAGTGCGTGTGAGAAAAATATGCGATAAAATGCCGATAAAGTTTTGAGAGGGCTTTTTAAAAACCACAGGCAAATGCAGCAATGCGGAGAACTAAATTTAAGGTTGGGAAAGCGAGGAAACGAAATCAACAGGCTCGTGGATCCCTCTCCGAAAGAGGCCCCAAAATTGTCAAGCTTACATCCACTTCCTATCGCTGGACCCCTGTGTTTTATTGATGAAAACACACTTTTCACATACAGATTATAACCAACTGAGGGCTGGGAATTAAAACAAGACTGGGGAATCCTGAGGAGGCTCACTCAAATTTAGTTCTATCAAATCCACAGGACTTTAACTTCAGAGAAAATGCACTTAGGACAGGAATGTTCCTTTGAAATGCACTTAGAATTCAGTTTTCCAGCCCCCGGTGCCCCCTAATGAATGTGATCTATAATTTTATAGCCCCACAAACAGAAAAGGAGAACCATCTGGGTGAAAGTTCTTTGCCCGAAGCTTCAAGGTCCAACCCAGAGAATTGCACTGGCAAGAGGAACCACGATGGCAAGCTGCTCCACGTTGCCAGGCCTCGTTCTGGCCGCTCCGTTCCGGTTGCAAAAGTCTCTCTGGCAGCAGGATGTGGAAACGCCATGCTGCTTGGTTTCGGCGCATTCCAGCGCGCACGTCTTGGAGACATGTGCCGTGCTTGAGGAGCCTTGATCAACGAAGGAATAGCAAGAGAGAGGGAGGGGAGTTAAGGAGAAGTCTCACCCATTCCTGGTATGCTGTTCTGGCTCCCCACATCCTAATCCATAATCAATAGGCAACCTTGCAGCTTGTGACCTCATCTGAGAATGAAGGGATGTTGGCACATGTTGTTGCTGGGAAACCCAACCCTACCCAGAAGACTTAATCCTACTGAGAAGTTCCAGAGAAATGTGATCATGCGTTCCAGCTGTCCCCATTGACAAGGATATTCCCTGTTTCCTGATACAGTGGTACCTCGGGTTAAGAACTTAATTCGTTCTGGAGGTCTGTTCTTAACCTGAAACTGTTCTTAACCTGAAGCACCACTTTAACTAATGGGGCCTCCCGCTGCCGCCGTGCCACCGGAGCACAATTTCTGTTCTCATCCTAAAGCAAAGTTCTTAACCCGAGGTACTATTTCTGGGTTAGCGGAGTCTGTAACCTGAAGCATATGTAACCCGAGGTACCACTGTGCAGTCATACCCCATGTTACATTTGCTTCAGGTTGCGCGTTTTCAGGTTGTGTCCTGCGGCGACCCAGAAGTACCGGAAAGGGTTACTTATGGGTTTTGCCGCTCGTGCATGTACAGATGCGCAAAATGACGTCACACGCATGCGCAGAAGTGGCAAATCGCGACCCGCGCGTGCGCAGACATGCAGATGCGGGTTGCGTTCCTTTCAGGTTGCAAACAGGGCTCCGGAACAGATCCCGTTCGCAACCAGAGGTACCACTGTAACTCTCCCTGATGAACCATTGATTCTACTAGCAAGAGGTGGGTTCTGCTGTAGCAGGCCAAGAGCCAGCAAGGGAACTCGACTCTGAGCTTTCAGGGAGTTTTTAAAGTAAGTTTCTAGCCTTTGTAGAAGGAAAGTTAGGAAGCAAAAGGTGTAGGCACTATTGGCAGCACCTGCCTACTGAGAAGTGAGCTTGCTCTTCACCCCCTTATAGTGGGATGTAGGAACTTGCCGTCTTCTGAGTCAGACCATTGGTCCATCTGACTCAGTATTGTCTACACTGACTGGCAGCTACCAGGAGTTGCGGGCAAAGATAGAACCTGGGACCCTTTGCTTGCAAAGCAGATCCTCTACCAGCAAGCTATGGCCCTTACCCAGTGTTTTTAACCCAGGAATGGACTCAGTGTGGTCACTGGCAAGTGCGATAGAGAAATCTAAGGAGTCGTACACACATTCCAAGGAAGATGTGAGCAGCTTCCAAATGAGCCAAGATGTCCCTTCTGCAGACCATGAAGAAGGGACCTCTGGTTCATTGGTAGTTGCTGTTTTTTCATCTTCCCTCATACAGAAGTGGTTGTTGTACAGGCAAACTAGCCGAGAAATCCAGAATTTTAGTCCAAAATTCCAAAACATAGAACCAAAGAACAGAGTTCATGTTCATACAAAAAAAGTTGTTGTTGTTGTTGTTGTTGTTGTTGTTGTTGTTGTTGTTACTACGTAAATAAATTTTTACAGTGCTTTTTTTCTTTAAAAAATGTTTAGGGGTACTCTCATTTTGACTCAAGAAAAACATCATTTTATAATTCCAATTGGGAAAAGTAAATACAGTAAATGGACAAAAGTACAAAGATTTAGGGGTATGCGTATCCCTGCATCCCCCCAGGTAAAAAAGAACTGAATTTGTATACCATTTTTTTCTATCCGTAGATCTCAGGGCCGTTCACAACATAAAATTACAATATAAAAAACACAAAATACATAATAAAAACAAGAACAAAAGGAAACTACCGTATTTTTCGCTCCATAGGACGCACTTTTTCCCCTCCAAAAATGAAGGGGAAATGTGTGTGCGTCCTATGGGGCGAATGCAGGCTTTCGCTGAAGCCTGGAGAGCGAGAGGCATCGGTGCGCACCGACCCCTCTCGCTCTCCAGGCTTCAGGAGCTATCCGCAAGCCTTGCAAGCCCGGTGGGAGTTCCCGCGGGCTCACAAGGCTTGCAGGCAGCAGCCTGCAGCCCCGGCGAGTGTCCGCAAGCCTTGCGCGCCCGGCAGGAGGTCCCGCCGAGCGCGCGAGGCTTGGGGCGGCAGCCTGTCACCCGAAGCACGGGAGCCCTCCGGAGGGCTCCCGTGCTTCGGGCGAGTGTCCGCAAGCTTTGCGCGCCCGGCAGGAGGTCCCGCCGAGCGCGCGAGGCTTGGGGCGGCAGCCTGTCGCCGAAGCACGGGGAGCCCTCCGGAGGGCTCCCGTGCTTCGGGCGAGTGTCCGCAAGCCTTGCGCGCCCGGCAGGAGGTCCCGCCGCGCGCGCAAGGCTTGGGGCGGCAGCCTGTCGCCCGAAGCACGCGGAGCCCTCCGGAGGGTGCCCCGTGCTTCTTGCAGGTGTGCACAAGGCTTGGGGCGGCAGCCGCGGCGGGGGGGGGGGATTTTTTTTATTCATTTCCCCCCCCCAAAAACGAGGTGCATCCTATGGGCCGGTGCGCCCTATAGAACGAAAAATACGGTAATTACTCTGCTAATCCTAATGCAAATAAATCCCATCCATATTGCAAGGACGGCAACGCTAAGGCAGAGAGTGAGAGCGATGCAAGCCTTGCACTTGCGAAATATTTAAAACATTTTTATGGCAACGCTGGGCAGGTTCAGTATCAGGTGCCTTGGCTGCTTGCCCCTCTTCCTTACCGATCATTTCACATGCTGATATTAGATGCAAACCAGCTGCCGGGAGCATGGCTGCTTTTCCAAAGGCGTGACTCAACTTACCCGTCTCCGATGGCCCAACCGTGGTCTTGCAGTACTTGTCAAGCTCTGAGCACACCGTGGGGATCATGCAGTGGGAGCTGTTGGAATGCGTGGCGCAAGAGTAGCATTTCAGCGAGAGAGCTGGAGAAGGAAGACGAGGAGAATTAATGCAAAAGCCCCCCATCACTCGCAGTAAAATATGTTGTCGTCCACTAAAGATGTACCTCCACTGACAGGCGCAGTCTACCCCTATGAGAACAGGATAACGGACTAGGAGGCCTGATCCAACAGCTCTTCTTACACCACTTGGACTGGGGCTATTATTCTTGTCCAACACGCTTGCAAACAATGGATTCTGACTGCCACACTCAATCCACTTCTCAATCACCAGATTTCTCCCCGGCAAGAACTCTATCCATAAATTATCGCATTCTGCACTGCCTCCATATTAATCAGATTCCAGTGTTGCTCCGTCTCTCGGACTGCCAGATTCTTCCCCGACTCCACCGCCTTTGAAAAGCTGCGTGTCGGGCAGAAATTCAACAGGTGAGTCTTTCTCCCACCACACCATCAGGGTTTCTTCAGCTGTGATTTCTGCACTGCATGGGGTCCCTTCTCAATCCTACAATTCTACGATTCTGTGATCCACACTGGGAATCATTTTACTTTTGTCTCCCTGCCGTGCAGTTCTTAAAAGCAAGGCGAGGGATCCTTGCAGCGGTGTGTATGGACAAAGAAAACAGTCTCCTTTCTCACCTTTGCCTGACCAAAGGACGGCAGCCAAAACCGTAACCAGAAGGATCCTCATCTTCTTCTGATGACAAGAGGAAGCTGCTTCGCAGAATATATACAGGCACACCCTAAATTCAGCTTCGGTCACCATAAAGTCTGGCATTCACAGGACTGGGATCTAAATCAGGATTGCACCACTCACAATAGCCTCAGCGTTACTTTTAAATAGTTTTCGGGTGTCGCGGTCTTCTACAGTCAGCGCCTAATTCCTGCGTCAAGAGGTGCTGGGATCAAGCCTCTCTGGCTATTGCTTGCAAGCCCTTCTCGCTGGTATAATAAAGTCCTTGGAGTCTGTAATTTTTGTTGTCATCACCATCATTATCCTCATTCTTTCATCGCTTTTTACAGTGCCTCATGCAAGGTAAAAATAGAAACATAATGCACAGAGACCAATATAAAAATACAGCAATAAAACAAGACCTAAAGCGCTCGTCCCAAATAAAAAATGAGAAAATAATGCATCCTCTCTGGAGAGGAATGGCAAACCAAGCTGTGAAGACTACTCCGAAATGGCAAAACTGACTGGAAAGCTCAGGGACCAAGAATTCAAAAACTTCCAAGAAAGATTGGGGAGGGGGGTTATAATTTATTTAGGAGAGCGCTGTAAGCAGATGAAAACATTAGCAGGATTTTAATCTCACTTCTAATGTAACAAATACTATGGACGATATGGAAATTTGGAAAATATAGATGATGAAATGCAGTTGCAAAAGTTGACAATAGGACCCATGGAGGGGAATGGGAAGTCTCTAGATTCAAAGCAATCTCTTTATTTGTATTTGATTTTTGAAATATACTCAGAGTCGCAAAGTGATTTCATGCTCTTTATTCAGCTCATAGTGGTGAGGAGGAATGAATGAAAGTCCCCTCAAAGTATCTGCTTTATATACATTATTTACACAATGGGCTGCACATGATTGGCTAATTCTGGAATTCTACTGTAAGCCAATCAGGTTGTGGATTCACTTATATCTGGAGCATGAGTGGGTGGTTCCTGCCAACCAATCATACTGCTGCATTGTTCTAGGACCAATCAGACTGCTGCATTCTGAATCCTATTGTTCTAGGACCAATCAGACTGCTACATTTTGGATCCTATTGTTCTAGGACCAATCAGACTGCTGCAGTTTGGATCCTATTCAACTCAGTACATAACAGTTTTGTTATAAATTTATATTTGTAAAATCAAATAAAAATGATTTCCCCCCCAAAAAAGGAAAAGAATGAGGAGCCTGCACAGAGGCTGAGGGGAGAACTGGTTAACCTCCAAATCAAAGGCCAAAGGCCTGTGGGTTTTGTCTGCTCCCTCACAACTGACAATGGGGGAACTGGCATGCTGCTCTGGGGAGAGCATGCACAAGTGCGGGGCCACCACTGAAAAGGTCCCTTCTCAGGTTGCCTCTTTGTGCGCTTCCCTCAAAGGCAACATCGTGGAGAAGGGAATTGCTCAGGACTTTGTGTTGACCATGACCAGGGACCGGTCTCAAGTAGAATCAGGCCCCACTCAGGCTGCAGGGCACATTTCTGCTCTTTGCAATGAGTTTGTGTGTGTCTATGAATTGATATAGGTAAAGGTAAAGGGACCCCTGACCATTAGGTCCAATCGTGGCCGACTCTGGGGTTGCGGCGCTCATCTCGCTTTACTGGCCGAGGGAGCTGGCATACAGCTTCTGGGTCATGTGGCTAGCATGACTAAGCCGCTTCTGGCGAACCAGAGCAGCGCAAGGAAACACTGTTTACCTTCCCGCCAGAGCGGTACCTATTTATCTACTTGCACTTTGACGGGGTTTCAAACTGCTAGGTTGGCAGGAGCAGGGACCGAGCAACGGGAGCTCACCCCGTCGTGGGGATTCGAACTGCCAACCTTCTGATCGGCAAGTCCTAGGCTCTGTGGTTTAACCCACAGCGCCACCCACATCCCTTTCTGTGCACCGCATGCTTGCATAAAAGCGGCACCTCCAGTTAAGGACTTTTCAGGTTAAGTACGGGCCCCTGGAACGAATTTAATTCGTATCCGGAGTGTCTACTGTACTCCCGAAGGGAACGCCTGCCCCCGTCCCTCACCTTCAACTTGGAACTGGGGTTCAACATAATGTACTTTATGGCCCCATTAATGTTCTCTGTTTTTTTTTCTTCATTCCAGTCAATGTCAACATGTTAGGTTATAAAAAAAAATGTCCCGTGTGTTTTTTCCATTATTGTTGTTGTTGTTGTTATTCCATTATTATTATTATTATTATTATTATTATTACCTGACTTGCTGGGTTTTTAAATTTAATTTTTACACATAGAACAAGCTTCCTGCTTTTAATTTTCACGCACAACCCCATGAAGGGCTCTAAACTGGGGAGAGAGTTTACTGACACTCAAGGAGACTCGACACCCAAATAAGGCAAAAAGTATTGATGGAAACCAAAGAAATGTAAGATTTTGGAGCAAGTTGCTCCCACCTTTGTTTTCAGCACACACATTTGAAAAACCCGAAGTCTGTCATAGACAAAAATACTCATATTTTAATGAACAGCTTTCCAGGCAACTTAACATCAAACAAGCCGTAAACAATCCATCGCCCAAGAACCTGAGTTCCTTGAATGTGACTTTAGAAAAATACTAGACTCCAGAGCACTTCTGAGAAGCCGGAATTGCGTTACAGGCGTGTTTGGTTCATGTGTGGCAAAAAGCACCAGTTACCATTTTGTATGGAAACAAAATCCATTTGTAGCACCGCACCACTCTCAATTTGTAGGAATACAAGCAAACTAGAAGCATTTTTATCAGGATTGTGGCGTAGTAGTATTATTCTTCCAGTAGAAATCTTTGAACCACCCACCGCGATAACTTTGAAATATTATTTAAGAGTTCTTTTCATGGATAAACTTCCACTCCAGACCGACAGCACAAACCTGTGAAATCACGCTGTTCCCCCCCAACCCCAATTTCACGGCTTACGTTGCGCCTGCAAACAGGAATTTTCTGAACAAGGATGCCTTCTTAAATCAAACCACAATGATTACACTGAAACTGAACCAAGTGCTGTAGGTTTGTCAGTACATAGCGTAAACCAAAGGTTCTTGTGTGATTTCAGGTGACAGCTACCAAATGCTCCGGCAGGTAATGGTGGCGTTTTCCCAACTTTTTCATAAACATAACTTCTCCTGCCTTCTGGTGCAGTAGGTTGCGATTTGGGCATTTCTTCCTGTGGGTTTTGGCAGAAATTTGTTGTTTTGAAGTACTCACCTGTCTGCTCTCCATCTTTGCCCAAACGCCTAGACTCTTTTGACTACAGATACAGTTGCTTGCTTCAACGTATTCCCTAACACATGGGTAGGCAAACTAAGGTCCGGGGGCCAGATCTCGCCCAATCGCCTTCCCGCGGATGGTCCAGGAATCAGTGTGTTTTTACATGGGTAGAATATGCCCTTTTATTTAAAATGCATCTCTGGGTTATTTGTGGGGCCTGCCTGGTGTTTTTACATGAGTAGAATGTGTGCTTTTATTTAAAATGCATCTCTGGGTTATTTGTGGGGCACAGGAATTTGTTCATATTTTTTTTCCAAAATATAGTCCGGCCCCCCACAAGGTCTGAGGGACAGTGGACTGGCCCCTGCTGAAAAAGTTTACTGACCCCTGCCCTAACAGGACCCAGGAGCTTTCAAAGCACAGCCAGAGATTCCCAAACTTGCAAAATTCGTGAAGCAAGGCATGGGATGAAGAGCGTCTCTGATACAGAGGGCACAGACTGGATTAGGAAAACCTAACCAAAGTTTTCGCCAGAGTCTTCTTTCAGAAAACAGTCCCTGCACTATTTCTGGCCAGCTTTAGTGTTCCTTCATTTTAAAAAAAGGGGGGTAGGCTATGCACCCTTTAAAAAGGTTGGAGATGTGAGGCTGCTTGTGACTCCCACATTCAGAACCCCCCAAATTTATTGCAACACCCACAACCATAGTCTAAGCAAAATGGTAAAAGCACACTTTTACTCTCGCAATGACCTGACCATCTCATAAAGTCAGGCAAAATACACGTGAAACTCGAAAAATTAGAATATCGTGGAAAAGTTCATTTATTTCAGTAATTCAACTTAAAAGGTGAAACTAATATATGAGATAGACTCATGACATGCAAAGCGAGATATGTCAAGCCTTTATTTGTTATAATTGTGATGACTGAGAGACCATTTAAAGGCTCAGGAACCCATTGCAGGTGTTATAGGTTGAATAGCTACTGCACCTTTTCACAATATTCTAATTTTCTGAGATTGTTAATTTGGGGTTTTCATCAGCTGTACATAATCATCACAATTATAACAAATAAAGGCTTGACATATCTTGCTTTGCATGTCGTGAGTCTCTCTCATATATTAGTTTCACCTTTTAAGATGAATTACTGAAATAAATGAACTTTTCCATGATATTCTAATTTTTCAAGTTTCACCTGTACAAAGGCTAGAGATACCTTTACTGTATCAAAGCATGAATTGGCTTAAATCATAATGGCTTCCCTCAAATAACCCTGAGATGATGATGATGATTATTTTTTTCATGTTTACAGACACACCTCATCCCCACTGCAGAACTGTGCAGTCAAACCTTGGACCCTGAACGCCTCTGTTTCAGAATGCCAAAAACCCGAAAGTAAATGCTCCGGTTTTCAAACGTTTTTCAGAAGCCAAACGTCCAACACGGCTTTGGCTGAGTGCAGGAAGCTCCTGCAACCAATCGGAAGCCGAGCCTTGGTTATCGAACATTTCGGAAGTCGGGTGGGCTTCCAGAGCGGATTATGTTTGACAACAGAGGTTCGACTGGATCTGCTAAGGTCTTTTGAGGAGGAGAGGGAGCCACGAGTGGGGGAAATCAGTTTAAATCTGTGCTGCAGAAAGGACCAAAGAGCCCCCTGTTGCAGCCACAGAGCCCCCAGGAAGAGACTGGCAATTTGGCTCCCCATCTTAGACCTTTTTGCACAAAACACAGGCACCACCCCTTCCTTTAGAGATGTATTTTTTGCTTGCAAAAGAAAAGAAAAACGGGGTCACAACGAAGGCATGAAAATGAGGTAGCCGGGATCTCCTCAGAATACAAAATCTTCGTCTGCCATATCTATCGCCCACGCAAACTTTTCCCTCTGGGTCTTGTTAAAAATCTTCTCAATGGGCACGCAAAACCTTTTACACCTGTGGGCAGAAAAAGCATGTCAGGGCGCCTTTTTGGTATCAAAGCCGGGCTTCTTGGGCTTTGGGTTCAGGTCTCACGCAACCCCCTGCTTTGAAAAGAGCTGCAGTGGTTGGAAGTTAATTTCCGGGTCCAGTTCAAGATGCTTGTATGGGTGTTTGAAGCCCCAAATAACTCAGGTCCGGAATAACTGAAGGGCCGCCTCCTTCCCTACGGACCCTCTCAGGTGCTGAGATCGGGAGAGGAAGCCCTCTTGGTAGTTCCTCCACCCTCAGAGACTCAGAGGGTGGTGGCCCAGGGGGACAGGGCCTTCTCTGTGGTGGCCCCTAAGCTGTGCAACTCCCTCCCCACAGAATTGCACCTGGCACCTTCATTGTACAGCTTCCGGAGGATGCTGAAAATGCACCTCTTTGCCCTGGCCTTTGAGGTGTATGTTTTCAGGATCCTGTGACCGTATGCTGTTCCAAACGATTTTTAATATTGCGTTTTAATTGTTGCAACCCGAACCCTGGGACTTTAGGGCGGAGGGCAGGCAAATCCTAGCAGTCATGACCGGGCTTCCACTTTTGCACCAAACACACAGCAGGACCGTCCTTCCCCAGGCACGTCAACCCACCAGGCCACACTGATGCGCGGGTCCAGGTAATTCAGCTTGGAGGTGCCCAGAGCGATCTGCTTGTTCTCCTCTTTGTCCGTGGCTTGCAGGACCAGCTTCTCCAGCTGCTCTTCCAACTTCTCTACGTGCTTCTGCTTCTTTTCTAAAGCCCTGGTTCGGAAGAGAGGAAGAGCGCACATGAGAACACAACAGCAACCGACAAAGCGAGCTGTTAGTCCTCATGGTTCGCTACCAGAATAGCTTGGCAGGTTTCCTTATTCACATTCCGACTGTGCCCTCTGTCCCTGTAGTCCAGGCATAGGCAAACTCGGCCCGCCAGCTGTTTTGGAACTACAATTCCCATCATCCCTGACCACTGGTCCTGTTAGCTAGGGGTGATGGGAGTTGTAGTCCCAAAACAGCTGGAGGGCCGAGTTTGCCTATGCCTGCTATAGTCTAATATTTCTTTTTTTTTTAAAATGATATTTATTAAAGTTTCACAGAAATACAGAAAACAGAGAAAAAAGTATAAATTACAGCAAAAAAATTAAAAGTAAGAAAAAACATACAAAATAAAACAATTAAAAACACAATGATGTTCCATAACCTATCTTCCTTACTCTTATTTCCCCAGACCTCCTCATACCTCCCTTCTTTGTATTCCAATTCAGTTTGTTGGTTCAGCAAATCCTTACCATTAATCTTTTACCCAATTGTTAACCTTTTTTTTTTTCATGTCTCTTAAAGCATTACAGCTAAAAACCTCTTAATTTCTATCCAACATCCTTCTAAAGTTCCTTAATTTTACAATATTTCTGTAAATAGTCCTTAAATTTTTTCCAATCTTCTTTCACCGACTCTTCTCCCTGGTCTCGGATTCTGCCAGTCATTTCCGCCAATTCCATGTAGTCAATCACCTTCATCTGCCATTCTTCCAAAGTGGGTAGATCTTGTGTCTTCCAATACTTTGCGATAAGTATTCTTGCTGCTGTTGTAGCATACATGAAAAAGGTTCTGTCCTTCTTTGGCACCAGTTGGCCGACAATGCCCAAGAGAAAGGCCTCTGGTTTCTTCAGAAAGGTATATTTAAATACCTTTTTCAGTTCATTGTATATCATTTCCCAGAAAGCCTTAATCTTTGGGCACGTCCACCAAAGGTGAAAGAATGTACCTTCAGTTTCTTTACATTTCCAACATTTATTATCGGGCAAATGATAAATTTTTGCAAGCTTGACTGGGGTCATGTACCACCTGTATATCATTTTCATAATATTCTCTCTTAAGGCATTACATGCCGTAAACTTCATACCTGTGGTCCATAACTGTTCCCAGTCAGCAAACATAATGTTATGTCCAACATCTTGTGCCCATTTAATCATAGCAGATTTCACCGTTTCATCCTGAGTATTCCATTTCAACAGCAAGTTATACATTCTTGACAAATTTTTAGTTTTGGGTTCTAACAATTCTGTTTCTAATTTTGACTTTTCCACTTGGAAGCCT